TTTTGTTTTTCACAACCCTCATTTGAATTTAAGGTAGCATCAAGATGCAGGAACGTAGGATGTCATCGGGATGGCGGGTCGTACACCTGTGGACCACTTCAAATAAAAAACGTGTACTGGATAGACTGTTATCGACCGGGCAGTGGTAAGTGTACAACAATGCTAAGGAAACCAGTAACAAGATACGTTTAAGCTGTGACATTTGGTTAGTGTTCCAACGTCAACCAACAATTCTAGCTGAGGATGAGAGCATTTTTGATAACTTCTCATCAATTGATGTATATACTAAAATGCGGAAAGTTATCTTATTGGCAATTGTTAAATTTTTTTTTAATATAAAAAGTAATTCGGCGATGGAAATGTAAAAAAAATGGATGATCATAGAATGAATTGACATAGAATAAGATCACAAAATTCCACTGCTGTATGTTACATCTTATTTCATTGGTCGACTTCATGACAACCATATAGTTTATACGTCATGACGTTTGGAGTATGATTTTTATCATGCACAGACGTAAAAAAAAACAAAAAAAGCAACACGTTATAAATTTTACGCGTCCGAAGCGCTTTTCTGGATTTACCTTCGTCAGGAACGTAATAATCTATAGGTATCAAGGAGATATTAAACTTATTTGTGCATACGCTCATATGATAATACGCTGTATGTTATATTTAAATGATTAATTTTAATTCAAAACTTTGATATATTTACTAGTAAGTAGTAGTCTTTAAACTAAGGCTGCAACTGCAGTTTCGCTATTCTGAGTATGTCTTTATATTTTGTATGTTTCCAAACGTAAAATGCATTTTGCCTTCTTAACTTTTTTCTCGAACGTGTCCGATTTAAGAGGTGGTTTGGGTCCTTCATTTCTGTATTCTTTTATGTAATTTCTATCTATTCTTTATGCTTTTTACCCATGATTTTCTATTCTTTATTTTATTTGGTCCTATTTTCTGAGGAATCGGCCCATTATTCTCTATTCAGTATCCCACATACAGACCTCATTAAGATTGCCATAGAAACAAGTGTCATTTGCCATGAAATCCGTATAGTACGTAAATAAAAAAGTATAACAAAAATACCGAACTCCAAGGTAAATTCAAAAAGGGTAAGTCAAAAAAAATAACAAATTCAAACGTTATCAACCAACGTAACGAGTAAAAACAACTGTCATATTTCTGACCTGGAATAGGCATTTCACAAAGAAAATGGTGGGTTAAACCTGATTTTATAAAGAAGCTAGATTTTTAATTTCACATACAGGTATATTGGTGATATTCTTTCCATTAACAATCCAAACTTTTATGATTGGTCCCATTTAATATATCCTCTTGAACTACATGTAGAGATTAGAAAAACTACAGAAACAGCTTCCCTCGCATCATTTGTAGACATTAACATCGAATTTGACAACAGCGGTCATCTCATTACTAGAATCTATGACAAACGAGATGATTTCAATTTTGAAATTATTAATTTTCATCACCTCAGCAGCAAACTTCACCCGCGTATGGAGTATACAGATTTCAATTCATACGTTATTCAAGAGCTTGGAGATGCTACCAAGACTTTGTAAAACGTCATCAGTGTCTGAGTAAAAAAAAAATAATGAGCCAGGGTTTTGTCAAAGAACGTCTCGTCTTTTTTCTCAAAAAGTTCATCAGAAAGTACCAATACCTAATGAGTAAATATTCAGTGTCTACTTCACAAATAATACAAAATGGTCTTGAGTTATAGCTCATAGGTGCTGAAGTTGTGTATCCTTTTACTCTACTTTAGTTTCCCCGTTATTTGTCTTCGTGCTATTATGTTTCTTTCGGTCGTATACATTTTGACGTGACTCGGTATTTATGTATCCTGCCATCGGGTTTTTGACTTTTTACCTTTGGGCATGCAGGTGGGTCCTGAACCTAAACCTCCCACTTGTTTGACAGGTACATATTATTACAGTAGAACTATACCTGTATCTATATTTACTTAAAACCAGGTTTAAACCACCATTTTATTCGGAAAATGTCTGTACCAAGTCAGAAATATGGCAGTTGTTTTTCACTTGTTCCGTTGATTGATAACGCTTGATTTTATCAGTTGTTATAGACTTCCTCCTTTTTTAATTTGCCTTGGAGTTCGGTATTTTTGTTATACTTTTTTTATAGCTAGCTAAAACTCCCACTTGTAAAACAGGTACATATTACCGGGTATTACTGTGGAACTAATAAATATTACATTTTCTTATTCATAATGGAACTAGATTTGCATCTTACTTTTACAGGTTATAGCCAGTGTGCGAACAACTACAATTGTGCAAAGAGATGTACACAGAATTATATGAGACGTTACGGGGGCAAGACATGTGGAACGACTTGTGAAGATTACGCACGCATGCACTATGGGGGTCCATATGGCTGTAGGAAAAGATCCACTAATTCGTACTGGAGAAAAATACAAGCGGCAGGCTGCAGTAGATATAGCTAAATTTGCAATTATGTATAAAATTGCCTCCAGACATGATGCAATCTGTCAATCTTTCTCGCTTTTTTATGCTTGATTTAATATTCCAATAATATAGCAAAATTTGTATTTGTAGATGAAGACTTCTTTAAGATAGTTTTTCCGTTCTTTATTAAAATTATCTAACAATGTTTGTCTTAAGTTAATTTATCAGAGGTTGATGACGTTTCTCGTTAGTTTGAAAATAGACCAATGTGTATACCAATTTAATTCCGGTATATATACAAGTACGGGTATGTGCTATACTTGACAATGAGAAGACACTCATCTAGAATCCAATGAACGTGGATGTAAGCATCTATTTGTCATTGTACGATATTCAAAAATACAAACATCCCAAAACATGCCGTAGGCTATAAAAATCCTCGATATGACATGTACAATATATGACAAGATCAGCGGCGTGTTTTATGCCAAAACAATAAACGAAAATCAAATATGGCAGACAGCAACAACCAACAAAATACCTTTACCGAATAACAGGTTCCTTGCTTGGAATAGGCACATAAAGTGGCGAGGTTTAACATTTTTGGGTCTCACTGGCAATCATACCACATCTTCTTATTCTATATCAAAAATAAATCATGTCTACCAAGACTAAATATCAATCAGTACACATTCAACGGATTTAGTGTAAAGACGTCATAAACAGAATATGAAAGGCAAAATAAAATGTTTTACTTTCAGCAATGCCAAAACATAAGTATCGACAGGATTTAGGACTATACGTGTTCATTACTGTAAATATATACATATCTAGGTATGACAGTTGTAATAAGTTATTAAAAAATCAAATGATTGTAAGTACCAATTGAGACAATATTTAACTCATCAGTCCAGTAGTCAGTGATTCTATATTGACATGGTGTAAAACACCAAACTCTAAAACAGCGGTAACGTTACTTTGCTAAATTTCAAAGACGACGTTACCACTCTTTCTGAGTTTGGTATGACATACCTTTTTTTAATTCTCCTACAAATTATCAGTTAAGAAACTACGGTTCCCACTCTGGCGCCAAATTTACGTTAACCTTGGCAATTCTTTTTATGTCCAATTTAGCCATATAGCTTTTCATGAATTGATACATCCTTGGCTTTCAAGTATTTGTGGTTTAGCGTTTCTGAAAAAAGGTATAATATCGAGAAAAATTATTCGGACGCAAAACATGCATACTGTGTCATTTGGTCTCTAGTGGAGAGTTGTCTCATTTGCAATCATACCTCATCTTTTTATTTTTATATATACAATGTTTATTTTTTTATATTTTTTAAGATCAATGATCTTACTATATTGTTAAATTGATAACCTTTAATAGCAAGTTTATTCAAAGGAACAACAGGTTAACATCGATCGTATTTAAGTTTATGGACTATATAAACAACATTAAAACTAGGATGAGATGAGCCGTTTGTAATAAATTTTGACAGGTACAGCAAAACTTCAGTCTTGTTAATTAAATTAGTGTTGTTTATATGCAATTTTTCAGACACAATACCATGTCTTTCTCTGACTGTTTATGACATTTTTTTAATATATCCATTGGATATGTACTGATGATATTTAAGTATTAGATGCATGTTTGTTTTTGTGGCTAGTAGGGCGTTGAACTTGCTTTCAGTAACTACTTCTCCCTTCGTGTCATAAACATTTGTGTTAGTTATTTTAACATGTGCTTTGTATCGATTTGATGTTTCAAGCCTTTTTCAACTATTTTTTATACTTTGTTCTTATGTTGCGTTGTTACACCACTTTTCCAGGTTATTGGAGGGTAGGGCGCTCGCAGAAATGTTTAAAACCCCAACATAATTTGTGTGTCTGTCCCTGGTCTGCAGTCACGTCCTTTATTGGTTGTCGTTTGGTGCTGTTTATCTAATTTGTTTATTATCAATTTTTTTGTACGTAAATCAAGCATTTGTTTCTCTCGTTTGAACTGTTTTACATTTGTCATGTCGTGCTGTTTATAGTTTGCTATGCGGTATTGGTTTTGTTCATTGTTGAAGGCCATACGGTGACCTTTTGTTGCTACCTTTTACGTTATTTGGTCTCTGTTTGAAAGTTGTATCATTAGCAATCACACCACATCTTTTAATTTTGATATTTACCAGTTATACACAGATTATGTTCATTAAAATTGAAACGTTACCTCATACATAGTGGTAACAAACGAGTTAGATAAATAAACACATGAATTTGTTTTGCTAAGTCTTATTGAGAAATAAAAGCAAGTAATAACTAAGATTAATCGCTAAATAGTCCTTTGTTCCTTTCTAAAAATAATATTCAAAACTCTACTTGTGGTACTCTTCTACACCCTCCAACATAAGATAAGAGTTATATCTGTTAAAAGTCATTTAGTGTGTTACCTTGAAGGAGATGTTCAAAATTACACCAGCCTTTTTCTTTCTGATATTTTTCTGTTTCGGGAGTTGTCGAAACCGGCAGGAGAAACGCTTACTGGTTACCGATCCTGACTTCACAACACGTATGCACCAGCTGGAAGTAACAGTCCAAAAGCTAGTTGGTGATGTAGCTACTCTTACACAGCAGAAAACGACATTGGAGACAAATTTACAAAATGCCAATTTAGAAATCTCACAACTCAAGTCAACGCTTCACTCAAAAACAGGTTTGAGAGTCTCATTTTTTTATTCTTTAATTTTTTGGTCATTTTTCTCTATTCTTATTTTTTATTTTGTTTTTAACATTTTTACCTATTATGTCTAAAGATATAGGAAGATGTGGTATGAGTGCCAATGAGACAACTCTCCACCCAAGTTACAATTTATAAAAGTAAACCATTATAGGTCAAGGTACGGCCTTCAACACGGAGCATTGGCTCACACCGAACAGCAAGCTATAAAGGGCCCCAAAAAATTACTAGTGTAAAACCATTCAAACGGAAAAACCAACGGTCTAATCTATATAAAAACGAGAAACGAGAAACACGTATGAACTACATAAACAGACGACAACTACAGTAACTGTAATCAGATTCCTGACTTATGACAGGTGCAAACATTTGCAGCGGGATTAAACGTTTTAATGGTACCAATCCTTCTCCCTTTACTATTTGTTTTGTTCACACATTAATGTCAATATAATGGAATTTTATACAACTGTCATACAAGTGAGAGGTTTGGCTAGCTATAAAATCAGGTTTAATCCACCATTTAAATGCCTGTACCAAGTCAGGAACATGACAGTTGTTATCCATTCGTTTAATGTGTCTGCTCTTTGGTCGGGTTGTTGTCTCTTTGACATATTCCCCATTTCCATTCTCAATGGTTAATGGAAAATGCCTGTACCAAGTCAGGAACATGACAGTTGTTATCCATTCGTTTAATGTGTCTGAGCTTTTGATCTGCCATTTGATTAGGGACTTTCCTTTTTGAATTTTCCTCGGAGTTCAGTATTTTTGTGGTTTTACTTTTTTCCTATGCCAATTTTTCGTTATTCATTATTTCAGAACCCCATTATTTTCTATTCTTTTTTGTGTGACCCATTTTTCTCTTTTTGGTATTTTTTTTCTTTTTGCCAATTTTTCTCCATTCCGTAAACCAAAAACTCCGCCCTCAGGTATAAGCTATTTGGTATCTTTGAAAATAAGATTATATAGTATTTAGAAATGATTAGATAATTAGGGCATTTAATTCAATATGTTTACATACAAACATCCTCATATTTCTACTGAACCCTTTTGGGAACGTATGCGTTTTAATTATAAACAAAAAAAGTTCTGTATGACGTCTTGGTTAACTATCTAAATCTATTTATTAACTTTCATTCTTTCAGAATCATCTTTACTCCAAACCATGTAGAAAATTTCAGTGACGGATTCCTGGAGGAAGAGGGGAGTTTAAAGGGGGTCGAGGATAGGTTTCTGATTCGAATTTTTTTCATATGTAATCGTGGAAAATGTTTTGCCTTGCTACACTAAGATATTTTTACCATTGGGCCATAACAATAATATGTTTGTTTGTCCTAACCCTACCTACCCAGAAAAAAAACTGCCTACTAAAATCTTGTATTGTCATGATGTGAATAAAATTTTGAGCTTGATGTTCAGTGGTTGTCGTTTGTTGGTGTGTTTCATAAGTGTTTTTCGTTTTTTATATAGATAAGTCTGTTGGTTTTCCTGTTTGAATTGTTTTACACTAGTCATTTTGGGGCCCTTTATAGCTTGCTATTAGGTGTGAGAAAATGTCATGTTAAAGGCCGTACTTTGACCTATAATTGTTAACTTTTTATACATTGTGACTTGGATGGAGAGTTGTCTCATTTACACTCATACCACATCTTCTTATTTATATGAAGACTAAAAAACATCTGACACTTCAATTTCTCTTTGCCGAAAAAAAAGAAGAAAATGCCTACCTATCTACCCACTGTCTCTACCTTTAGGTAGTGTTTGGGCAAACCAAAATATTTTTATGTGTAGCCTTGTGGATAATCACGGCTGCATATCAAGCTATAGATCCGCCCCTCCGAATAGTACGTCTACTAAGTTAAACGGATGTATAAATTTCCCCGCATCGTGCTTGCTTTTTTTTTTTAATTTTGTTACCATATTTGTATTGAAAATTGGAAGAAAACCGACACAAGAGTAAACGAAAAAGAGTTACGAAAATAATGAAGAAATAACGTGTTCGAAGAACAATCATAATACTACTATGGAGACAAAAAGTAACGTTCGCATTCAGTTTAAACCTTTTATACAGCAACACATCAAAATAGAGTAAAAACTTTTCGAACTTGCTACTTAGCACTATTTGTCTATTCATTTCACGTTCAATAAAGAAACAACATAAATGATGTATTTTTTATTGATTATGTTTGACAGTGTCTTTTATTTTACAGGCAGTGGAGCCGTTTACACACGATGGGGAAGAAAAGATTGCCCATTGAATGGAACACAACTAATTTATTCCGGTAATAACATTGGTTATGTAAAGGTAGTATAAAACACCATAGGTAGATAAGTAAACTCTGTAAAAATCAGCTGAACGTTTTAATCACGTTCCATTGTTAAGGTAATATTAAGCTTCTCAATGATCCCAATGAGTGTTTGTCAAACAGCTATATATCAAATGATTTTTTTCCGATAAAGTGTGTAGTTCAAGTTTTTTGAAATTTTTATATTTTTTCAAAGGGTCAAAGTAAATGTTTCGATTAAACGAGCCAAATTAATTTTAGTCAAGGTGTTTGGTACCACCGTAATGTGACCATATTTGTTCTAAGAGGACTGCATATACAATAGGGCCTAGGTGGCCGAGTTGTCTAAGTTGTTCATTACAATGATTACTAGCCTGTCAGTAAGGTGTTTGCTAGTTCAAACCCCGTGTGTGGCAGTTGTGTTCGACTCCGGATATACTTGACTAGGATTGCCAGTTTACCCGCCGAAGGTCGGTGGTTCTCTCTGGTTTACTCCATCAGTTAAAACTGGCTGCAATGATATGGGCATGAGTACTGATAATGGCGTTAAACACCAACAATCAATCAATCAACCAAAAACAAAATCTGATATAAAATGTCTTTAATATTCAGCTTTTAAAATAATAATACATCATATTATGATATCATTTTCATTTTCCGTGAATTAACAGAATCATGTCAGCAAAATGTGTACATTCTCTTTTGAAAATACCTTTTAGGAACAGTCGGTGGAGGATATTATAACAAAGCTGGAGGACCATCAGACTATATCTGCCTTCCACATGACCCAAATTTCATTAAAAGTGATGGCCCAATAACGACCGATGGCTACGTTTCATCGCTCTATGGGGCTGAATATGAAGATGGTTCTTACTTCGGAACAAATTTCATTGATAACGACGTTCCTTGTGCTGTCTGTCGGGCGACACAACAGTCATCCGTATTGGTAATACCTAGTAAAACAACTTGCTACGGCAGTTGGAAAGTAGAGTACTATGGTAGACTTGCGACAGGTGCAGACACCCATAGTGCAGCTTCGCAGTACATATGTATTGATATTGCTGCTGACACTCTAGAAGCTGGAGCTGCCGACCTCAATGGTAAACTGTTGTATGCAGTCAAAGCAGTCTGTGGGTCCTTAAGATGCCCACCGTTTTATAACAATGCACCTATATCATGTGTTGTTTGTTCAAATTAATTAAATACATATGATTTCGTTTTAGAACGAATGTTTTATAGTTTATTACCTTAGAGTTTTCAATTTAAACATCGATATAACATTCAAACAAAACGTAGCAAGAATATGAAAATAAATACATAAATTACTGACAAAAGGAAAGGGTCAACTGTTTGCTGTCAAAGAAATTTCTCAGTTGAGTTATCGCCCGTTTATCAGAAAAATATCGAATCCATTTAATTTACATATCTCTCCTTAGTCCAATTCTTCAAAGTTTGATCGTGTAAGTAAGGTTCCTTCTTTGGACGCTTTTAAAATATACTTCCGAAGAAGCAACCCCGAACGGGTCAATAGAAAATTATGTCGAAAAAGAACAATTGTAAAAAAACTAAAATCGACGAAAAGACAAACAACAGTCTTCAAAACACTAATTAACAAGAGAGAGAGATGGATCAACAAGACCCCCCCCCCCCCCCCCCCCCAAAAAAAAATAAAAAAAAACCAGGGGAAATACCAGGTGCTCCAAAGGGTAAACATATTCTGCTCCACTCGTTTTTAAGTATCGGACGTATTAGACAAATGAGCACTCATAACATGTATCATCTAAACTTCGGTTATCTTTCGATTACTAGAAAAGACTAAATATGGACAATGCCCCCCCCCCCCCCCCATTTTCTGCTCTGCATATGCATGAGAATAGTTCCACATATTTTAGATTTGACAAACAGTGATGTTGGCATACAACTTGAAATTGTTACGCTGTCTGTAAGACACAAATGATGCCGCCGCCTGACCAAATAAAATGACTAAGTCCAACTACCTGTCATTTTCAGAATATTTAAAAGAAATCAAAATCCTGTGGCCATGCACATCTTCATTATGTGTATGAACATCCGACAAAATATTAAAGCTGTATCTTCAAAACTGTAGGAAGAGATAACCGGACAAACCATGATCTCTTTATGCAGCTAGTACCAAAAAAATGACTAAGTCCAACTACCTGTCATTTTCAGAATATTTAAAAGAAATCAAAATCCTGTGGCCATGCACACCTCCATTATGTGTATGAACATCCTACAAAATATTGAAGTTGTACCTCCAAAACTGTAGGAGGAGATAGCCGGACAAAATTATGTATCCTAATCCGGACGCTCGGAGATAAATGACGGACGGACGAACGGACAGACGGACGATCGGAGATAAATGAATATGCCCCTCGACATTTTGTCGCGGGGGCATAAAAACATGAATAAGTGAAAAACCTGATGATTGCCCTTTACAAATACAGTATATGCATATCTAGTACATCATATTCATAAGTTAGGTATAAAATACATGTACGTCGATTCTCCTAGCGCCTCTACATTTAGAATAGTTTTGTGCTTATTCACCGAAAGCCGCGGAAAGTGACGATGTTTAATGCCTGAATTCGACAGTTTTAAATTTCGTCTACACGCCACAAAACACTTTTTGAACTTTTAAAGTAAAATTTTAATATCCAAAAATGGCCCAGTTTTCTTCACCTAATACAATTTGTTAATCACGAAATTTGAGGTCAAATGTAGTACTAGTAATTCTAATGCAAGTTGCTTCATTCGTTTTTTTTAACAAAAAATCGTTTCCGTGAAATCATTTAGGGCGTATACGGACATATCTCCTCCCCCTCTTGAAACTTGAAACTTTTTTTTCTCAAGGCCCCATCAAATGTTTAAATTCAATTCAGGTGTGTCTCCGAGGCTATGAAAGCCTCGACAGGTGGTGCTGATACATGGTGCACGTACAATCTAATAAGAAAAGGCATTTGTTCGTGGGAAACATAAATATTTTGCAGTAATTACTTGCTGATGATGGTATTTGAAAGCTTTGATTTGCATGTTTATTTAAAAAAAACTTGCTGCAAAACAGTGAATTAAAACAAAATGAGATATTTATAAGCTTGTAAAGATTTGAAATTTATCCATGAATGTTATTATTCCAACTTTTAGTCTAAGGCCGTGCTCACACCAAACGTGGCGTATTGTAAACCTTCGTTCAATAGTTTCATGGAATGGAAACTCGTTTCACCTTACATGTAAATTTGTTCTCATATGAACTCTGGTTTTATTTACTTGTAAATGAAAATTGTTCACACGAATAAACTAGATGTAATTTAAATGTAGATTACATTCAGTTGAATTAGAAATTTAACTGCCAACTTCTGTTGCAGTTATGAACTCATTCCTATGATTTGGAGAGGTTTAAGTGTTATACTAGTAATAAAAATGCATGATGCTACTGCAGGAGAGAAAAATAAGGATTGAAATGTTCAGGTTGTTTTAGTAACGCAGGATCACTTCAATTTAAATCTTTATTTTTCTTTTGCATTGCATTGAAATGGTGAAAAATTGCGGTATTCATTGGAAACTCATACTCCGACCGGCAGTATAGATGAACAGGATGCATAAATACGCAGCCACGCCCGTTCAGAATGGAGACGCGGATTTCAATGCATGGGTTGGCCTATCTATCTTAGGGGTGAACCGTTTAATATTCGGGGAGGGGGAGGGGGCAAGAAATATTGATTGACATGTTTTTGCTTGCATAACGTCCAGTAGCAAACATTTCATGCAATATTTTAAACAAACGAACAAATAATTCAATATAAAACATACAAACCTTCAACCTCTCAAAGATATGATGTATTGGTTTCTCTTTAGACTGCTTAAAGATTTACACCCTTCAAACGATGCACCGGAACTTAAAATATCTAACACACTTGCTTGCTTGTTTATACATCAACGCCTATTTACCATGAATGGAAGAAGTCCAACAAAGTGGAAAAAAAAATGACAAAACAGTCTCATTTTCGTATATCCTACATTTCTATTCCTTAAATTTAGAATACAAATTATGAAAGATTTATCAAGTTGTTGATAAATTTTAAGTATCACAGTTCCAAGACTAATGCTACAACTTCTGCAGTCCTATTTCTCATTTTTGTTTGTTTTTTTAGCCATATTTGTTTCAATATTCTGAAATCTTTAAGTATATCTCAATATTACATATATACGCAAAAGAAGAAAATTCATTGGGTATATCACCAATTAGCTTTTCTGAAATTTGTTGGAAGAGTTGCATTCTACAGAAAAATTAAGGTTTTTTAAGTGATATTTTAAGACAGTAACAAAATATTCATGGGATCGATAATTGTACACGTCCGTGCAAGTATTATATACCTCAGTGTGAAACTAAATCAAAATCGAGGTAGGAAGATTGAGGCGTCCTATAAAGCTTTGCAGAAAATGGACCTACAAGTGTAAGTAAGTAAGAACAAGAACGATCTTTAAAAAAAAAAGATATCTGACGCATTCAGATGTGAGCATAGAGTTTAATCTTTATCAGGTTTTTTTTATCATAGTTAAGAAATTGCACACAATTTGACGACAAAAGGCTGACGATTTTAAAAGTTGAGGATATGCGTTTTTCTCTGAAGAATTAAAATATATACTGCATGGTACTTAACTAAATATATATATATAGATATATATATATATAGGATATTTCTCAGAGCTAAAGAAATACCTATAGCTGTGAAATAGACATGTACATAAACATAAGATATTAGTAGTTTACAATCTGTAATGAATAACAAACTTGAAACAGTCGGAAATAATCACATTTATTCTAAAACCAGTTGTTGGCATTATATGGGTTATGTTCTTCCTATATATTTCATGATGGTATGATACTAAACCCCCAACGGGAGGGATTGTGCTTGATTTTCATATGATGAAGACATTTTCTTTCAATCCGTTTAATTGATGTCTGGAGCTGGCATGTCAGTAACTGCTAGTAGTCCTTTGTTAATTTATGTATCATTATTATTTTGCTTAGTTTCTTTTGTTACCTATCATGACATCGGTCTCGGACTTCTTTTAAACTCAGTTTTACTGTGCGTATATGCTTTGTGTTTGTTTATTCTACATTAGCTAGAGGTATAGGGGAGGGTTGAGATCTCACAAAACATGTTTAATCCCGCCGTTTGTTTTGCGCCTGTCCCAAATCAGGAGCCTCTGGCCTTTGTTAGTCTTGTTTTTTTTTAATTTTAGTTCATTTATATGTTTTGGAGTTTAGTATGACGTCCATTTTCACTGAACTAGTACACATTTTTTGTTTAGGTGAAGACCGCCTCCGGGTGGGTTTTTTTTCTCGCTGTGTTGAAGACCCATTGGTGGCCTTCGGCTGTTTTCTGTTCTTCGGTCGGGTTTTTGTATCTTTGACACATTCCCTATTTCCATTCTCAATTTTATAGATCCATGCAGAAAAAAATCAATTATAACTATATATCAAGAACAACTCTAACAAAAAGAGATACAACCTATTTCGGTGTGTATATCGGGGACGGACGGACGCCAAAGGGAGATGATCTATATAATACAGCTTTTGACAAGTTATTAAATTTGCGATATATGTATTTTGACAATCTTTATTTCAAGTATAATATTTTGTACTCTTTGAGATTATTATTACGACTTGGAAGTTTTAGTTGCTATAGCCTAATTGACCTGGTAGATCTAATGAACCTATCAGTGCTATTTACCCACTCGTGTATTAAAGGCTAAGCCTACAAAATCCAAACAATTTGACAGTGGTGATAATGACACCTTCTTGACCTGAATTCATTTTTATTTATCTGGATAATTTCATTTTTAAGTTTGATATAGCAAATATCTTCTTTTGTTGGTTTTTGTTCAATTCCGTTATTTCATCCAATCAGAGTAAAGATTTGTGACATCATGCATGCCGTTCCCATAGTGAAGCGTCATTTATAAATAGGTCACAAAACAAAATTATTACTGACTGCGTCAGAAAAAGAGAGGCGGAAGATACCAAAAAGATAATCAAACTCATAAGTAGAAGACAAGCTGACAATGCCATGGCAACAAACGAAAGAGTAAGCATTCTGTTTCATATGTGACACCCGTCGTGTTACTACTACAAAATTCGATGTATTAAAAGTTTTATCAAGTGATAAGCATTCA